TCTTTTTTTTTTTCTTGCTATAAAGCCCTCCGAGAAGCTACTTTTAAAGGCGCTTTCTAAAATAATTGATTGCTATCCCTGTGCTGAGTTTGTTCTCCCTGTGTTCACTAGGGTTTCCTCCCACAGTCCAGAGACAGGAAAATTGGCCCTGGTGTGAGTTTGTGCCCTGCAGTGGACTGGCGTCCCATCCAGGATGTAGCCTGCCCTTTGGCTCATGGCTGGCAGGAAGAGGCGCCGACTCCCCCACAAGCCTGTGTTGGGGAAAAAGCAGTTACAAAATGGGTGGATTAATGTTTTTAGAATGAGCAAACATCCTGGTTCACACTTACAAAGCACCCGTGGCATTTGGAATTAGTGGTGGGAAGTTTCATCTACCCATTAACTTTAGGCTTTTAAACACTGGCTGGAGTCTTATTGTTCTGATGTCAAGCCAAGCTGTAGTATCCTGGCAAGTGGGCTCTAGCTGTTGGGTTCAGAGGCCTGATAATTATTCATCAGGGCGTCCAGACCGTTATGGCAGGGAATGGTGCCCTCATCCTGGGGAAATCCTCTTGGGGGGGTAGTGGGGTTGGGAGTGGACTGGGGGGTTTTTATCATAATTGCCCCACACACCAGCTCCCCGGGGGGGAGGAGAGCAGAGTGATGGAGCCAGTTTTGGAGACCGAGGGTCCTCCTGCAGGATCCGCTTGCTTCTCGGCGCGGTCCTGTGGAAGCTGGAGTGGCGCCGTCCCGGGCCCAGCTTGACGGACAGAGATGCGGGTTTCGTCCTACGGCCTCCTGGCCTATCGTTGTTCTTGTTGGCGATCGTTGTTCGGTGGCGATCTTTCCAGCAGCCGGATTTCTCTCCGGGGCTGGTGGAAGCGCGCGGGGCCCCAGAGCCCTCGCCGTATTGGCGGCTGCGTCAGCTGTGCTTGGGTCTGCCGGGCGTGCACACGGGTTCCAGCAGACCCCAGGGGTGGACAGTCTCGGGAGAGGCCTTAAATAACCACTGCCCAGTATTGGCACAAGGAGCCTTTAAATACAGCGTGCAAAGGGACTTGTAGCGTTTGTCTTCTTAACAAATGCGTCTTGCTGTTCACTTTTCACCTTGGCTTAGAGTAGTGTGTTCGCGATTAGCAGCCGAGGCCTGTACATGACACAGGAGAGCTGGGTAAAGTGACCCCGTATTCTTACCTGTGTGCAATATGGGCGTGTCCGCATGAGGTGTGAAGCTGGGCGGTCCGGTGGTTAAGGCAGACTCTTCTCAGGAGGAGCCTGAAGCCCTCGGCCGTACCTCAGCGGCTCCTCGCCTGCTGTGAGCTGTCTTGTGGGCTGAGATGTCAGACGCAGCTCTGGTGGTGTGTGCCCCAGTGGTGGAAGTCATTGTCGTTGCCATATTTCATCTTTTTATTCCGTGCACAGCAGGTGTCCTGCTCATTGACTCTTCATGAATTGTTTACCGAGACAAGAGTGGGTGTGTGTGTGTGTGGGGGGGGTGTTTAACACCTAGCACAAAAGGGAGGAGACCCCAACCCCTGCTGCAGCCAGTTTAGCCCTGTGGTTGGCGTGCAGCGAGCTGATGTGGCGTCCCCCACGCTGGTCGAGTCAGGAGACGCCTGCTGACCTCTCTCTCTCTCTCTCCACCCCCCCTGCAGGATGGAGCACCGGAGCGAGGAGGCCCTGCGGCTCGGCCTGATGAAGCGGGGCCTGGAGCCGGCCGAGGAGCGGGACCGCGAGGAGGCCCTGGCCAAGCGGCTGAAGATGGAGGGCCACGAGGCCATGGAGCGCCTCAAGATGCTGGCCCTGCTCAAGCGCAAGGACCTGGCGGGCATGGAGGCCGGGGGCGTGGCCGGGGGCGGAGTCCTGGGCGAGGCCAAGGCCGGCCTGGGGGCGGGGTCCGGCTCCGTGGGCGGCGGCGGCGGGTACGAGGAGAAGCTGAACGGCAGCCTGAGGAGCGGCGGCGGTGGCCATGGCGACCCCCGGGGGGGCGGGGCCAAGGTCGGGAAGGAGAACATGGGCGACGAGCCCGTGGACATGAGTGCCCGGCGTGGGTGAGTGCCCCCTGGTGGTCGCACGCAGAACTTCAGGTCCCGGGCTGTGCAGGCAGAGGGACACCAGATCACACCTAGCTTGCGCCCCCCAGCATCTTCACAGGGGGGGTGTTCAGTCAGCAAAGTGCCACACAGGTCTGAAAGAGGGCAGAAACCTTGGGCAAAGCCCCCTGTCGCTTCAGTTTGCTTAGCGCCACACTGTGACATAGCGCTTAAGCCCTGGTGGGGTTGTGGGTTCGAATCCCAGAACGTGAGCCAGTTCTCTCACTAAGCGCCCTGCTGTGTAAATGGGTATTGTCACTGGAAATCAGGGGTTTCTCACTTGCCTTTCTTGGTTAAATAAGGCTTTAATTTCGGGGCGCCAAGCTCAGTTTTGTTGTCATAACTTCGGCACACATGCCCCGGTGGTGGATGCGGCAGTTTACCGCGGTTATTACTGTGAGGTTTTTGTGTTGAATGTGCTTGAAGAGCCCACACAGGAAAAGACTGGGGTTTTGAAGTTGACACCTTCTAGACAGTGTTGGAAAGCAATAGAAAAGGGCAAAGTATTTTAGGCTCTGTAGTCAAGTCTACAATTCAAAACAATTTAGAAAATGGCGTTCAGTTTTGGATGCCTCGTTACGAGCCAAAGATGTTGCTGTTCTGCAGTCAGTCCAGAGAAGAGCAGCTGGTTGCATTCTGTGGTTTTCAATAGTCTTCAATAGAGAAGATTATGAAGGATCCCAGCCTCACTATTCAAAATCCTCAAAGGCACTGATCGGGCACTTCAGTTGGGACTTCTTCCCAATGAGGAGTGAAATTCAGACCAGAGGGTACAGGTTGAAACTACATGAAAGTTAATTGAAACCAAGAGCAAGTGGCACTTCTTTACACAAAGAGTGTTGGGAGTGTGGAACAAGCTACGCAAGCTGTGTTGTTCAGGCTGATACCCTGGTTTCCTGCAAGACACAGCTGGATGAAATTCTGGGATCAATAAGGTCTTTACTACCTGACAGGGTAGATGAGCTGAACACTATCATTTATAACCTTTATGTATATAAACATAAGCTGAATTAAGCAAGAAAAATAAAGAGAACTGCTGGTTTGCTTTAAAAGGGCGTTATTGAGTTACAGTGGAGAAGGCACAACTTTTAATGAGTCTGTTAGAGATTCTCTCATTCCACAGAGAAATCCAGTACTGTTAGTTTTGCCCTGCGTCTCTTAAAAGCTCTGCCAGTTAATCAGCAAAACTGGTCACCCTCTCGGATTGTCAGTGAGGGTCTGTTTTGTTCCTGGATTTCCTGTTCTCGTCAAATACTTCCAGACAGGAATGGGTTTAAGGTTCCACCTGGAGAATTTAGGATCTGGTGAGCACTGGCTCGTATTCGCCCAGATATGACACGATACTCCGTTCAAGCCAAGAGGAGAGTCAGTGCCCCATTTGTGATCAGAATTCTCAGAACCGCTGTGCAAAAAAAAAAGCGTGATGCCTTTACTGTGCTTTTATTTTCATCTCAGCGATGAGAAAGAGAGGGATTTGTGTCGTTTCTGGCTCTGGGTGAGCTGTGAGGTTCAATGGTCAGGTTGAAACTATGATATCGTTACCCCTGAGGTTAGACTGGGCAGTAAACCTTCAAGCCAGCCTAACGGGCAGTGCTAATCTTAGACCCAGAAATACAAATGCACATTTTTTTTTTTTGCTTCTTCCCCACGGAGAAAGGCTTTATTGGCCTTTTCTGCCATTGAGAGTGATTGGATGGGGAGCTTTTGTCAGCCGAGCGATGTTCCTCCTTTCCATTCTGGTCCTGTGGCTGCCTTTTGGAGAGAAGACACTCTTGTGTTTGGAGTGTGTCATTTAAGGCGGCGTTCAGCCCTGAGGACCTCCTCAGAGTGAACACATCAGGCACCTCAAGTGGAAACGAAGTGGAAGTGCATTTAAAACTCGGTATAGCAGGCACTGCTTTACGCAGAGAGTTGTGGGAGTGTGGAACAAGCTGCCCAGCCTTGTGTTTGAAGCCGATAACCATAACTCTTTCAAAGGTGGATGGCTAGGATCCTGGGATGAATTATTAACTATGAACAGCCAAAGCTTGGACTACATGGAGTGCTCTCTTTTCTCGTGTGTCCAGAGAGCTGCATGTGTGTTTCCGTACATTTAAATAAAGCGAGTTCTTGCGCTTTGGGGCGGTGTCGGTGGGGACCTCTCTCGCTGTGGGCTCCTAATGCTGACCACCCTCCCCTGCAGTGATGAGGCAGTTGCTGCTGGTGATCTGTCTCGGAGGACAGATGCTGATGTCCTGCCCCTCTCTGCACCCAGCATGTTGCTCTCCTCCCGCGCAAGGTTAAGAGGAGGAGAGCAACATGCTCTCATGGGGATGCAGTTTCTGAAGCTGGAGAAAGCAACAGAAGAGCCATTTCTGAAAGCAGGAGTTGAGATCCTTTTTTATTTTCCCCAGGCAATTCTGTACTCCTGTGGGCTTAGTTTCTTAGACCGGCCTAGCTAACGATCAGAGCAGAAGCGAAGATTAATTGACGCGGTCTGGTGCGGTAAAAATAGGGGGCGGGGGGGTTCTTCCCTGTCAATGTGGAAGTTAAACTATAGCTGCTTCCATTTTTTTTTTTTTAAACCTCCCATAATTGGAGTCTGCCTGAGACAGAAGAAGCATGCTCCCTGCCAGTTTGACTTCTGTGCAGTCCTTTGGAAAGCGCGATGAGAGTTGGAGTAGGGACACCCTTGTAGGTGTAGCTTGCTCAGCAGGCAGCCCTCATCCATCGCGATTTACAGTCTTGAAAACATACGTTGCGTATTAATGCAAGGATTGCTTTGTGCGGGGACAGTAAGGTTAACACCAAATTAACACACAAAGAAAGCTAGCACAAACAGGAAATGCAACACAGACATGAAATGAAATCGTGAGCACCTTATCTCCGACTCGCCCAGTGTGTGTGTGTATATGCTGATTCTTCGATGCAGTGGAAGTACTGAATCCTATGGGACTCTGAAATCCTTCCCCCTTCCTCACTGGCTCTCCCAGGGCGTTTCCACTCGGACTCCATTTGGAGAGCTCCACTTTTTTGAGAGCTGATGGTAAAGGTCCGCTTCACAGCTCCTCTGCTGTTGCTGTGAAGAGGGGGTTAGTGTTGAATAACTGCTTTCAGAGTCGCCAGGCCGGTCTTAGTGAGGAGGCTGCTTAGAGTACCACAGAAAAACCCATCTTGTACATATCGGAATCTCAGATCTTTGGGTGAATGGCTGAACTCCATATTGGAGGAAAAAATCTTTAGATGGTTTAAAATCCCTTTCTGTCGGGGGTTGTCGGAGATGAACCTGTTATGTGCTGGGGGTACTTATGTTGGCTGTCTTGGTGATCAGCTTCCAGACGCACCATTACGACAGTGCTACCAGGCTGATTTTCAATAATGATGGCTGTTGTGGCCCCAGAGGGCAGTGCAGTCTCCCCTGCATGCTGTTGTCGGAGTTTGAGGGGGCCGATCGTTTCATCTGAGGGGTAAAGGGAGACCGATATCAGGGAGTCTCTGTTCCATTGGGAAGCTGGGGTCTGCTGGTGGACAGTCAGGCTTGATGCCCGAAGGCCAGCTCCCTGCGTGGCCGACTGGGAAGGTGGGCTCCCAGAGGGGTCCTGGCTGGCTGGGAGTCTGGACGCGAGGCCAGGCAGCGGTGAAGGAGGATCGGGGTGTCCGACAGGTCGGGGTGGGGCAGCGGTCGTGATGCGCGGGGTGCGTCTCTCTGATCGTCGTCTCTCCCTCCCCCCCCCCTCAGTGACCTGGACCGCGAGCGCCGCACCCCCTCCCCGGACGTGATCGTCCTGTCCGACAACGAGGCGTCCAGCCCCCGCGGCTCCTCCCGGATCGAGGAGCGCCTGCGGGCCGCCAACGTGGAGATGTTCAAGGTACGAGAGAGAGGAGCCCCCGCGTGTTCATCACATGATCTCACATTTATCGGAGTGGGGGAGGGTGGGGTCTGTGGAGTCGTTTGATCTTCGAGTCAGCAGATCGGTTTTAATACAACAGGTCTAAGCCGGCAGAGCCCTGCCGAGTGAGTCATGACTGCATGATCTTGTCCTCCCCGCACAATACCAAGCACAAAAGGGAGCAGACTTGATCACAGCACTACCTGGTTTCTCTTCCTCCTTGAGAGCTATGAAGTGCCTGAAATGCATGCAGGCATGATTACTTCCCTCTTGCGCTACAAGTACTGGGGGCTGGTGATTTGAGCTTTTGAGCTGCTGAGAAAATGGTTAATATCTTTTTTTTTTTGCCTTTCCCATAATGCACCCCCCTGGGTGTGTCTCGCTCTGTCCTCGTCTCCTGGCGACTCCGAGTCTCTGTCCGTCTCTCGCCCGCCGGCGTGCCGGCCCAGCCTGACGGTGCCTGTGTCCCCCCCCTCCCCCCCGCAGGGCAAGACGGGCGAGGAGCGGCAGCAGGTGATCAAGGCCCTGCGGGAGGAGCTGAGGCTGGAGGAGGCCCGCCTGGTCCTGCTGAAGAAGCTGCGGCAGAGTCAGCTGCAGAAGGAGAACCTGGTGCAGAAGGTCAGCCCCGACCCCTGACCCCTGACACCTGACCCCCGACCCCCAACCCCTAGAGACCCTAGATCACCGCGCCTGCGTTTCCAGGTGGAGGGCAAGATGCATCCCGCAATGCAGCTCGCATTTGAAATGAGCGCCCCAGAGAGGGCGACCCCACATGGGCACACGGAGCAGATCAGCTCATTGCCGAAAGTGTTGGTGTCCTGCCCAAATTTCCCCCCTGGCCTTGACCCATCACGGCCTCCTAATAACCCCCCTCTCTGAACTGGCTTCATCACTCTGCTCTCCTCCCCACTAATAGACTGGTGGTGGGTGAGGGGATCCCCATTAATTGGGCTGGGAATGCGATATCAATCTTACACTCTTTGGAGATGGAGTTATTTGCCCTTGTGCTTAGGACTGTTGTCATGCTGAAATGGGAGGCTAGAGCCTACAGCTACCAGGTGAGATATGAGTCCAGAGCAGTTCTTTGCTAAATGCACTTTTTTTTTCCCCAGTCACACGTTTTTGACATGGACGTGTCAGGGTTATGATTTGCTCGGTGTGCCTGCAGGCTCATGCCCGTCTCTCTCCCCCCAGGTGCCCGTGGTCCAGAACGCCCCCTCGGCGGTGCAGCCCTCGCCCGTCCACAGCTCCCAGCAGGGCCAGGCCAAGCTGCCCCCCCGGCCCGCCCTGCACGCCAGCGACGCGCACGGCCTCCGGACGGTCCCGGTCAGTACCGCGGTGCCCGCGAGCACCCCCTTTAAAACTGCTCGTGAGCTTGCGTTCTTCATTTTAGCTTCCGAGTTCTGAGCAGGTCCTGCACTGGGGTCGTTAAAGACCAGCGCAGAGCAGCCAAAGCCAGCTGCCATCCCTCAGGTCAGTCCTCCTCTTACCCAGTGACGCCCCCCGGTGCATCGGAGCACCATGAGCTGAACGCAACATCTGCTCCTTGAGCGTTATATGTAGGTACGCCTTTTAGGAAGCACCAGTGCAATGCCTGGCACAATTTAGAGACGGCATCCAAAACGCAGACAACCCTGGATGCTTCACTTGATGAGGATGAATTTTTAAAAAGATTGCTTACGTCTTAAAGGGAGACATGTGGATAGAACCCAAGTGCAGGAATCACTAGGGAGTTATTAACCAATTTTACGCTTGGTTTCCCCCTGTATTCTGAGATTGTCAGCTGTTTAATTGTCCCTCCCTGGCCTGTGGGCTTTCCTATGAACTCCTGAGCTGGCCTGCTTTCTGAGCCCTGTAGTACTGCCTCCTGACTCACATGCGCCCTCTTGTGGTCCCAAGGGGTATCGCAGACCAGAATGAGTGGATACCTTGGAGCCTCCTGGGTACTTTTCCAATGGCTTGATTCTTGCTTTAACACCGAAGATGAGGCCTTCCTCGGGGAACACGGGGGCGCCGAAAATACTTCAGCTCCCATTTTCGCCATCGACGCGGGGCGAGTTAATTAAGCAGTAGTTTAGCGTGACCTGCGCCTTCGCGAGGGAAGGGTGTGGATTCTCACGGGTTTTTGCCTTCTCTGCGGCTGCTCCCCCAGGGTCACACGGTCATCCGGTCGGCCGCCAACGCGGCGCTGCCCCAGATGATGATGTCCCAGCGGGTGATCGCGCCCAACCCCGCCCAGCTGCAGGGCCAGCGGGTGCAGCCCAAGCCGGGCATCATGCGCGCCTCCGCGGCCAGCGTCAACTCGGGCCTCGGCTACCAGCAGGTACCCGGCTGGTCACCACTCCGGCTCTGTGGATCGCCATCTCCCAGAGCCAGCAATGAACACACTCTTGACTGTCATTTGGGTCCTTTCTTCTTGGTAAACTAAGGAGAAAGAGTTAAATAACTATGGGAATTTGCATCACAAATTACTGCCATGTTGAACAAGTTAGCTATGAGCCTGTAGACCTTAATCGTTTTCAACCTCTTTTTGGTCTCCTTTGAAGACCTGAAGCTCTATTTCAGATCTTCTATAAATGCCCCCTGCTGTTCCTTTAATCCAACACTAAAACGTTAGAAACCTCTACATTTGTTCACATTTCTTCAGCTGGGGTCAAGGACTGCAGCAGCAAAACTCCAGCTGAGATTCGAACCTGCAACCTTCCGGGTCTCAGACCAGAGCCCTGACTGCTGTCTCACGCTGGGCGTTTAAATATTAGTGGCCTTGAACTGGATTCTAAGTTTTGTTGATCCCTCCTGATTCAGCCTAGTTATTTGTTACAGCACTCAAGAACTGGGCTTCCAGGCCAAAGTAGGGAGTAGGCTGTAGTCGAGCTAAAATCTAATGGTGATTTTTGGTTGCATCACTGCAAATATTTTTTTTTCCCCAATGTAAAAATGTGCACATGAACATCGAGGCCTGGATTTTTTTAGTAACTAACCACTTACCTAAATGACGCTAGAAGATTTGGTAGATCCGTATCTGACGTGCCATTAGGAACAGACATCAAACAATTGTTTATTAGTTTTACACACTTTAAGCCTAACTAATATGGTACTTAATTGTGGGTGTGTGTAGCCATCTAAGATCAATCTCAAAAGTAATCATACTATTTGTCTACGGTACAAGACACTTAAATATATTAAGGCATCTCTTTGCTTGTACATCATATGCATTCGTTGCTGTGTATCTTAACATTGATTTCACAGTAGGAGTGAACTTATTTTGGTAGCCTTTTTCCATTTTATTGCTCTCCATTTTTGACTCTGGTGTCTCCTTGTCCTTCAGCCCTCCAGCCAGCAGGTGGCAGCCTCCCAGCGCTCAGGCTCTTCGGCCATCTACATGAACCTAGCCCACATGCAGGCTGGGGGAGTGGGCGGGGTTGGGGCTGTGGGCGGAGTTGGCACAGTGAGCCCCTCCCCTCTCCCCAGTCCGGGCTCCGCCCTGCCCGAGCCGGTCAGCAGCCAGGCCGCCGCCAAGCTGGCGCTCCGCAAGCAGCTGGAGAAAACCCTGCTGGAGATCCCGCCGCCCAAGCCCCCCGCCCCCCTCCTGCACTTCCTGCCCTCGGCCGCCAACAGCGAGTTCATCTACATGGTGGGGCTGGAGGAGGTCGTGCAGAGCGTCATCGACAGCCAGGGTGAGGTGTGCTTAGCTGGCCTGCGGTTTACGTGGGAGAGAATATTAATCCCCACATCGACCCAGAGACAGTGGTGTTGCTGAAGATGGTGTTGCAGGAATTATTGTGAAGTCTTAAAGCTGCCATATCACCCTGCAACTCACAACTGGCAGCCCCACTGGAGCTCAGCAGGTGTGAACCTGGTCAGTACCTGGATGGGAGACCTCCTGGGAAAAACTAAGGTTGCTGCTGGAAGAGGTGTTAGTGGGGCCAGTAGGGGGCGCTCACCCTGCG